GGCGATAGCAGTGCATCTTAAGCGGGTGGCAAAAGAAGAGTTTCAGGAAAAGCCGGGTGGGCGATACTGGCTATCCAGGTAGATTACTCATCAGGTGATGTGTCAGGAGCCTGGACTCACATTCACAGTCAGGGGCTCAAGAGAACAGATAAGAATAAAGCAGGGTTCAGGGCCAAGGGAAAAGGAGGTACTGGAAAGTTTCCTAGAATAGAACCTTGAAAACAAAGATCAAGGTAGGAGCAGGTTGCCAAGCTGAGCTGGAGTCCATACTGGGTTACTGTTGACTCCGTGCTGGACCACGAGTGTTGGTCTAAATGGCGCGTGACCATCAGGAAAAGGGTATGCTGGGCCTTGAGGTAGGTTTAGAGACAGCAGACTTGCAGAGGAGGGGTAGGTAGAGGCTTGGAATTGATATCTAGACCTTTCTGTAATCTCAAGTTGTCCATCAGAATCTCCTGCCCTGGCCTCAGGCCTTTCCTTTCTATACAAATTTATCCTTTTCTATTTATATAATCTTAACTGAAGGATGGTTTACTGGTTAAGATTGTTCCTTTCCCCATCTTCCGAAGAACCTCAGAAGTCAAAATGGAAGCAAATGCTCAGCAGAATTAGCCCAGTGCGCAGAGTATAATACTGAAGCTGGTTTGCCTCTGCTTCTCACAATTTTGATCTCATACAGGATGGCAGCCAGGTTAGAAAAGTACACTCGTGAAAACACGTTGCACTGATGAAAGGTAGAAATGCCTGACTAAACACGCTTGGGGATGAAATAACCATAGCTGAGCTTGTGTCAACAACTGTACCTCACTGTCATTAAAGTTAATCTGTCCCACCCAGTCCCTCTTCCCTCTTAGCTGCCTTTATCCTCCATCAGGCCTTGTTATTGCTAACTCGGATTCTTAGGGTTCTCTTTTTTTTTTTTAACACCTTTATTGGAGTATAATTGCTTTACAGTGGTGTGTTAGTTTCTGCTTTATAACAAAGTGAATCAGTTATACATATACATATGTTCCCATATGTCTTCCCTCTTGCATCTCTCTCCCTCCCACCCTCCCTATCCCACTCCTCTAGGTGGTCACAAAGCACCGAGATCTTATGCAGCTGCTTCCCACTAGCTATCTATTTTACATTTGGTAGTGTATATATGTCCATGCCTCTCTCTCACTTTGTCACAGCTTACCCTTCCCCCTCCGCAGATCCTGAAGTCCTCTCTTAATGAATCCCATAGCAGCTGATTTTCCCTGCTCCAATCCCTTTATTTATTTATTTAGGCTGCACATGGGAGCTTAGTTCCCCAACCAGGTAGAGAGCCTGTGCCCCCCCGCAGAGGAAGTGCAGATTCCTAACCACTGGACGGCCAGGAAAGTCCCTCCAATCCCTTTTAAATATCAAAACCACCATGATTTTTGTCAACTCTGCTGTGCCGTATATTTCAGTAGTTCCATATCACCCTACTGTGAATTAAATTCACTTAAAAAAAAGTGACTTAAACATGTTTCCAGTATTTCCTTTCACCATCCAACCTGTCCCCAGAGAATCTGTAAACTTTGATTATTCCTGGTTTTTTTAATACATTTATCCCTTTCTCGCTCCTGGGCCTTGGTCTTTGCTGTTTCCTGCTGGGCATGTCCTACCTCCATCTCTACCTGACAAAATCCTACCCATTATTCTAGATGCCGCTTGAATGTGTAAAGTATTTCCTCTCAACCACCGGGGTTTCCTCACGTCTTCAATTTTCCATGGCTCTCTATCTCTCATGTTTACTATATTCATCACATCCTGTGCTGGGTTAAGAGTTTTGTGTCCATGCTTATAGGGCTTGTTCCTAGTAATCTTTTAATATATGTTTGTTGAATTTAAAGCAAGCAAAGCATGATTCCTGTATATTTAGACACACATATACACACATACATGCACACGTATGAGCTACACATAAACAACACTATTTTATAATAGATTAAGAAATTCAGAATTCTTAAAAAATAGGTGACACTAAGACTCTATAGAGAAAGTACAGAGGTTCAAATCTAATGGGGACATGGTTACCATGTAAAGTGTATTTTCAGTCTTCAAAATTTGGTTTTAACCACCACCTTCTAGAAAAGACTCCCATCTGAAATATGCTTTCAGAATCTGTATGAAAACCACTGTGTAGTTAAAATGAGAGAAGCGAATTGAGCTAATTAGGAAGTCCTATAAAAAAAAATCATAGTTTGGCCATTCAGTCATTCTGGTGAAGTCTACTGAAGCTGAACATATCCAGGGGCTTTTTTTTAGCTTTATCAAATCATGCAATTAATTCAGAAGGAAATCTCTACTGCAAGGTTTGTTTTATTTCCTTAGTTGTGGTTTTGTAAATAACTTAAAGCACTGGGTCAGGATGTTAAAGCCTTCTTAATTTAGAAAATCTGGCCTCTGGCATCTTGGTGTCCAAATAGTGCTGGGGGAAAAATGACATATTGCCCATAGCTCTGAAAGTAAACGTGATCAATACCCTGTAACCCAACCTGATATGGCTTTCAATTCTAAATGAAATCATTATACTCCTTTTTCAGAAATATCCATGACCGTCTCCCCCCAAAAACAAAATATATACCCAAACCACTAATCTTGCTTCTGCCTCAGCAAAACAAGTTTTGTAGTGAAAAGCGAAGAGCTAAGAGGGTAAAAAGATTGGGGTTCTAGTTCTAATTCAACCTCTGGCCATGTAAACTTGGGTGAAACACCTCCCCGTTTAAATCCTCCATCTTCAGTCTGTAAAATAAGGGAATAACACTGTTGCCTTGCCTATTTCATGATGAGGACTGAATGAATTAAATCAAGGGAAGGGATTTTGTAAATTGTTAAGGACCCAAAACTCTGATGATACTAATGCCAATTCCCACTGACTCTCCAGTAATCTCCAGCCAGCGACCCTCCAGTTGCCTTCCTGTCCACTTCACATGCAACCCTGCAGAGTCTGTGGTTTTCTGGTTGCTCGTACTTGTGAGGGCCTGTGGCTTCTCCTGTCTGCCCATCTGAGCATTGTGCTTCCTTCAGAGATTTTATTCCCCCAAGAAACTTTCATCCCTAATCAACCCACCCAAATCTTGGTTTTCAGAATTCTGTTCACACTTATACCCTCAACCTCAAAAAGAGCATTAGTTTATGACTTGGTGTACTCTGATTATTACAATTTGCAAGTCTTAGAGCCACTAGAGTGTGAATTTCTATGTGTAAATATTACATCATTTACGTCTTATTTCTTTTTAATTTTTATTGAAATGTGGTTGATTTACAATGTTGTGTTAGTTTCATATGTACAGCAAAGTGATTCAGTTATATATATATATATATATATAAATTCTTTTTTTAATAGTCTCTTCCATTATAGGTTATTACAAGATATTGAATATAGTTCCCTGTGCTATACAGTAGGTCCTTGTTGATTATCTGTTTTATTTATAGTCCTGTGTATATTTTAATCCCAAATTCCTAATTTATCCCTCCCCCCCTTCCCTTTCGGTAATCATAAACTTGTTTTCTATTTCTGTGAGTCTATTTTGTAAATAAGTTCATTTGTATCATTGTTTTTAGATTCTACAATATAAGTTATAGCACCTACCTCAGGGCTGGGCACACAGCTTCTATAAAGGATGAACTACTTGTTTTTCCAACTTTCTTTTCCCCAAGTTACTGACTAAAGGGCACTTTGACCCCCTAATTTTCTGAAATCTAATCCATCATAAAGTTCCTCTGTTTTACCTTGAAAATAAAGTCTCAAATCTGCCCACTTCTCTCTCTCTCTCCCTCCCTCCCTCCCTCCCTCCCTCCCTCTCTCTCTCTCTCTCTCTCTCTCTCTCCTCTCCTCTCACAGCTAAATCTCACCTACAGCCCTTCAAAAGCCTCTTTGCTCCCACTTCAGCCATAGCTTTCCACTAATCCACACAGCCAGAAAAATTCATTTTTTAAAAAATAAATTTATTTTATTTTATTTATTTTTGGCTGCGTTGGGTCTTCGTTGCTGCACGCGGGCTTTCTCTAGTTGCAGCGAGCAGGGGCTACTCTCCATTGCGGTGCGCGAGCTTCTCATTGTGGTGGCTTCTCTTGTTGTGGAGCACGGGCTCTAGGTGCACGGGCTTCAGTAGTTGTGGCACATGGGCTCAGTAGTTGTGGCACACGGGCTTAGTTGCTCCGCGGCATGTGGGACCCTCCAAGACCAGGGATCGAACCCATATCCCTTGCATTAGCAGGCGGATTCTTTTTTTTTTCTTGCTGTACGCAGGCCTCTCACTGTTGTGGCCTCTCCCTCTCTTTTTTTGCTGTATGCGGGCCTCTCCCTTGTGGCCTCATTGCGGAGCACAGGCTCCGGACGCGCAGGCTCAGCGGCCATGGCTCACGGGCCCCGCCGCTCCGCGGCATGTGGGATCTTTCCGGACCGGGGCACGAACCCACTTCCCCTGCATCGGCAGGCGGACTCTCAACCACTGCATCACCAGGGAAGCTCTAGGCAGATTCTTAACCACTGCGCCACCCAGGAAGTCCCCAGAAAAATTCAGTTTTAAAAATCCACTTATGCCTGCTTTCTACTTAGAATCCTTAAGTGACTTCATTACACTTTGAATAAATTCCCAGTGCCCAACAGTGGCCTCCGAGGCCATGTATGATGTAGCCCCCACCAGTGTCTCCAACCTCACATCATGGGCCACTCTCCCTGCTTCCCCTCCTCAGCGACGTGGCCTCCGTGTATGGTCAAATCACCCGAGATGGCTGTTCTCTCGCGCTCTGTACATCCCCTGCCTGACCAGCAGCTGCTTCACCTACACCTGCTCACATGACTGACCTTCCTACATACTTGCCCCTGCCCCAGCTGGTGATTGTTCTAACTTTAAATCAGAATATCTCCACCCATTAGCTTATCAAAGGGATGATAAGGAGCGCCTCTGCTGGTTTCCCTGGTAACCAATAAGCCAACCTGATGTCAATTCCCCCTATAATTGGCTACCTCCCCCTCCCCCAAGGAGCGAAGCCTGCCGCCACGTCCTGTTCGCTGCCTGCTGCACACGGTGGGGTGTCATTCCAGGACCTTGCTTCAGACAGGTAAGCTCCCCCCATCCATGAAGCCATTGATGTCTCTGTCACTGACTCCAGGCTCTTTCTTTGGTCTTGAGGATGGGCAAGCACAGGCCTTGCTGGCCTGCTGTGGTACGGCCTAACATTTGGTGGGGCAGCCAAGAGACCCAGGAAACTCCCGTGAGCGCCAAGCTGTCAGAGAAACCAGGCCGGGGGATGGAAAGTTGCAGGGGCCCAACCACGATAGCACGTGGGGCCTGAAAGTTGTGGGTGTGATCCCGGGGTGGCCGTCCACTGATGTGGGACCTGAAAATTGTGGGAGGTAATCCCTGAAGTTCCAGGGGTGATCCGGGGGAGGCGTCCACTAGTGTATGGGGCCCTGGGGTGGATGATGAATGGGGGCCGCCAAGAGAGTCCAGAGAACTCTATATAGACACCCCAAGGCTGTTGAGATATTGGCCGCTGCTACCGTGGGGAAAAAAAGTTCAGTAATAAGCTGGTGGCCACAACTGTGGGCTGACTGTTGCCTTTTATATTAAGAAAGGCCACAGAGGGTGAGCTAACAGCAGAGGCGAAGGTCAACTTGAATGCTAGGCCACCAGGCTGTTTCTTTTAGAGTCAGGCCTTCCCCTCTCCAGGGGGGTGGCTCTGGGTTTGCGAAAGCCAGGGGTGGCCTTACCCTCCTTATAACTGGATGGGGCACTGCTGCCACCGACTCTTCTCTCCATTGACCCGGTAAGTGCTTGGCTCCAAAATTTGCCCACATCCTGGCAAATGACAGCATACTAGGCATCTTATTCACGGTACTCTTTGGCTGCTGGTGTCTGTATTGTATTTGTGGTATCTGGTTGCAGTACCCCCAACATACCTGACCCCAGGGATATGCAGAAGAAGGGTGGACCAAGACTGTATCTGTCGGTTGTGCAGGGTGTGTAGGGGTGGAGTTCATGGTCAGGCCACTCAAGATGACGGTTCTCTTGCTCGCTGTACATGCCCTGCCCGACCAGCGCCTCCTTCACCCTACTAAGCACATGACTGACCTTCCTACATACTTGCCCCTGCCCCGGCCAGTGATTGTTCTAACTTTAGATCAGAACATCTCCACCAGGATAGTTTATCAAAGCGGTGGTGAAGGGCGTGCTCCTCTGCTGGTTTCCCTGGTAACTGATGAGCCAACCTGATGTCAATTCTCCCTATAATTGGAAACCTCCCCCTCCCCCCAGGAGCAAAGCCTGCCACCACATCCTGCTGCCATCCGCTGCACACAGCGGGGTGTCACTCCAGGACCTTGCTTATAACATGTAAGCTCCCCCATCCATTAAACTGTTGATGTCTCTGTCGCTGATTCCGGGCTTTTTCTTCAGTCTTGAGGCTGGGCAGGTACAGGGCTTGTAGGCCTGTGGGGTGCAGCTCAACAAAGCTCCCCTGAGAGACCGCAGTCATGTGCCTCAGGGCCTTTGCGCGTGTTGTTCCCCTGCCCAAAGCATTCTTCCCTGGCACTCTGCGTAATCAGTTCCTTCTCTTCACATATAGAAGCATCTTGCTTTTTTCCCCCGAATTCCTTCTCTTTAGAGGGACTGTGTAAGCAATTCCATCTCTGTACCCTGTATATGGCCTTCATCTTACTTATCATGATGGGTAATTATTAGTTATTTTCTGGTTTATTGCTGTATTATTTCTCTTTTCCCTAGATTGTAAGACGCATGAAGCTAGGGACCATGTATGCTTTTTCCATCATTATGTACTCAGTACCTAGTACAACTGCCTGACACATAGAAGACACACAAATGAAATGTAACAAGTGAAATTGAGTACTGAGTATATGTCAGGTACTAGAAATACAAAGAAAATAATTCTAGGCCTCTGTCCCAAATCAGGGCTTCTCTCTGTCCCACCTCCTACTCCTGCATGAGAGCCAGTTTATGAGTACATTACTCCAGATAGGAAAATTCATAATTATACATATTTTGCACATAATCTGTGCAAAATGTTATGGACATTTTCAACAAACAGTGCTGGGAACACTGAATATCCATGTCAAAAGAGTAAAGTTGGACCCATACCTTACACCATATGCAAAAAATGTAATACGGATCAAAAATCGAAATATAAGAACTAAAATGATAAAATTCTTAGAAGAAAACATTGGGGAAAGGCTTCATGCCATCGGATTTGTTAATGACTTCTTGGATATGACACCAAAATCACAAGCAACAAAAGTAAAAATAGATAAATTTGACTACATCAAAATGTAAAACTTTCATGCATCAAAATATACTATCGGGCTTCCCTGGTGGCGCAGTGGTTGAGAGTCCGCCTGCTGATGCAGGGGACGTGGGTTCGTGCCCCAGTCCGGGAGGATCCCACATGCCGCGGAGCTGCTGGCCCCGTGAGCCATGGCCGCTGAGCCTGTGCTCCGCAACGGGAGAGGCCACAACAGTGAGAGGCCCACGTACCGCAAAAAAAAAAAAAACTATCAACAGGGTGAAAAGCCAATCCACAGAATGGGAGAGAATATTTACAAATCATGTATCTGATAAGAGATTAATATCCAGAATATATAAAAACTCCTACACCTAAAAGAAAGAAAGAAAAAGGAAGAAAAAAAAAACCACTTAAAACATAGGCAAAGGACTTGAGCAGACATTTCTCCAAAGAAAATATACAAATAGCCAATAAGTACATGAAAAGATACTCAACACCACTAATTATTAGGGAAATGTAAATCAAACTCACAATGAGATACCACTTGACACAAATTAGAATGGCTATTATTTTAAAAAAAAAACATAACCAGTGTTGGCAGGATACGGAGAAATTGGAACCCTTGTGCACTGTTGGTGGGAATGTAAAATGATGCAGCCGCTATGGAAAACAGTATGGCAGTTCCACAAAAAAATTAAAAATCGAATTATTGCATGATCCAGAAATTTCATTTCTGGGTGTATATCCAAAAGAATCAAAAGCAAAGACTTGAACAGACATTTGCACACCAACGTTAATTAGCAGCACTATTCATAATAGGCAAAAGGTAAAAGTAATGCAAGCGTCTATCAATAGATGAATGAATAAACAAAGTGTACGTATCAACATGCAATGAAATGTTATTCATCCTTGAAAAGGAAGCAAATGCTGACTCATGCTACAACATGGATGAATCTTGAGGACATTATGCCACGTGAAATAAGCCCATCACAAAAGCACAAATATTGTACGACTGCCGTGTATGTGGTCCCTAGAGTGGTCAAATTCATAGTGACAGAAAGTAGAGTGGTGACTGCTAAGGGCTGGGAGAAGGACAGATGGGGAGTTATTGATTAATGGGTATAGAGTTTCCATTTAGGAGGACTAAGAAGTGCTGGAGATGGACGGTGGTGATGGTGGCACACGTGTGAGTGTGCTTAATGCCACTCAACTGTGCATCAAAAAATGGTTAAAATGATAAAATTTATAACTATATTTTATCACAATAAAAATAGTTTAAAAAATGTTACGGTACTATAAAAGAGCAACTAGCTGGATTGGGAGGGATTCTGGTGAGGGAAACAAGGACTTCACAGAAGAGGTCACTTCTAAACAGAAAGAAGGGAAAAGATATTTCTGGACAAACGGAAGAGCATATACAAAGGAAAGTATGAGAGTGCAGGGTTTGTTCATGGGATGACAGTTTGGTGAAAGCTGGTATAAGCCTGAGCTGTAACCACCGAAAAATCCCAACAGCTCTGAATCAAAGACATTTTAAGTTACATTCTATTTACTTGAAACTTGACAGCCCGCGTATGTTGTGTTTGGTTATTCACCAGACTATGTAATAAGTCAGAAGACCCACTTTCCCCTTCCCGCTAGATTCCAGACAGCTTATTCAATTCAACAGTGAACTTGAAGGTGAGAATTTTGCCCAAGAACTAGAGAACCATGTTACAGAGATGCAACCTTTTCACCTCAAGTCTGAATCCAGATTTCAATATCTAAAAGCTAGAAGAAGAAGACCTGGTACCAGTACATTCCCAGAACCAAAACATCTAGCCTAATTTAAGCCTGGGAGAAGTTTTAATTCTCCGCCTTAAGGCACTTTCAAGAGTCATTAAAAATCTCATTTTACTTTGTTCTCACTAATCTAAAAAAATATTGTCTCAAGCCTAAGGTTAATGCTTTATCTTGCATGGTTAATTGTACAGGTCTGTTATAAGTAGCCAAATAAATCTCACCTGCTGTTGCCACTCTGACGATAGAGAATTGACTATGGTGAAGAGATGTGGAAATCATAACACTCTGTCAATATGATTCATCATGGGTTATGTCAAGGCCATAAAAGTGTGAAACAGTGTTTCCAGTGCCAAAAGCAATTGGATAGTAAGACCTAGGGAAAAACCTGCTTCAGTTCAGAAATGGATCAGGAAAATGCACACATCTTTCAGAGACCTGTTCGAAGGTCCAAGCTTCTCCCCTATGTGAACTCACCAAGATAAGGTTTCACCCACCAAAGGACCTAAATGAAGGAAGGAAGGAAGGAATGGTTTGAGGAATGGGTTTTAAACCAAAAAAGAGTCTGAGACAGTAGAACCTCTGTTGTCTGTTTCACTGCATTAAATACAGGTTAAATGCCTTCTGAGAAGGTAATTTGCACGCCTTCAAGTGAAACATAAAGGCATTTCTTCTGGACAAAAGAGTTGTCCGTTTTGATCATTTTTCTTCCTTTCGTATGTCATCTCACTTGACCCTGCTGTGTTCTTTTTTTCTCTACTCCATTATAATCTGCATGAGAACCTCACTTAGTTCAACACCCTCCACCCAGTGCCTTCAGGGAACGGAGGTCGCTTCTGTATTTTGGGTTTGGTTTTTCCCATAAGTATGTTGTAAAAACTATATTCTTCCTTCATATCAAAACCCATGCAGTTTCTTTTTTCTAATTTTAGTTTCCCTCAGTGAACAGCAACCTGCAATCAAAATTTTGGCAGATAAATATATTACAGGGCTTTTCCTTTTATGAGCGCGGCTGTTGAACTCGGGCATATAATATGGGAGGT